TTTAACATAATAATATGCATAGAGTTTAATTCAGTGTTTGAAAGATTCATTTCACTATTTTTAAATTAATGTCTATATTGCCATGAAGCAATTACCATTTTCTTGCCTGGGATCTTCCTATTGGTGACCTAATCAAAATGGCCGCCTTGATTAATGTTGGTGTGTTATTAGCCACAGCTAGCCATTAGCCATTAGCCACAGCTAGCAATTCAAGGCTAACGTCACGTTAATGATCATAAAGAACCTAAATACATAAATAAATCAGAGGGAAAGGGGGGCGGTATCGATACTTTAGAAAATGAGTATCGTATCAGGATGAATCGTTTTAGTATCAATACTTTTTTAAGTATCGATACTTTTGACCACCCTACCTTTCCTTCACTATTTTTAAATTAATGTCTAAATGTCTTAAAATAATTTCCCTCTGGGATTATTAAAGTATTTCTGATTCTGATTCTGATTCTGATATATTGCCATGAAGCAATTACCATTTTCTGACCAACTTGATGAATGTTGACGTGTTGTTTTTAGCCGTTAGCCGCAGCTAGCAATTCAAGGCTAACGTCTTGTTCATGATCATAAACAATGTAAATAAATAAATAAATCATAATATTATGGATAGAGTTTAATTCAGTGTTTGCAAGATTCATTTCTCTATTTTTAAATTAATGTCTATATTGCCGTGAAGCCATTAGGATTTTTTTGCCTGGGATCTTCCTATTGGTGACCTAATGTTGGTGTGTTATTAGCCACAACTAGCCACAGCTAGCCATTAGCCATTAGCCACAGCTAGCCATTAGCCATTAGCCACAGCTAGCAATTCAAGGCTAACGTCATGTTAATGATCATAAAGAACCTAAATACATATATAAATCAGAGAGAAAGGGGGGCGGTATTGATACTTTTGAAAATGAGTAACGTATCCGGATGAAACATTTTAGTATCCATACTTTTTTAAGTATCCATACTTTTGACCACCCTACCTTTCGGGGGCCTTCACTATTTTTAAATGTCTATATTGCCATGAAGCAATTACCATTTTCTGACCAACTTGATGAATGTTGACGTGTTGTTTTTAGCCGTTAGCCGCAGCTAGCAATTCAAGGCTAACGTCTTGTTCATGCTCAAAAACAACGTAAATAGATAAATAAATCAGAGAAAACTCGATACGTTTGGAAAAGAGTATCGTATCCGGATGAACCCTTTTAGTACCCATACTCGTGACTCACAGTATCCGCGGTAGTTCCAGTTCCCGGGCAGGTAGGCGTGCTGCACGGCGCCGGGCGGGGGGGCGCCGGCCTGCAGGGCGTGGCTCTGGGGGACGGGGCTCAGATCCTCTCTGGGCTGCTGGGGGCTAAGCGGCTGACTGGGACCCTGGAAGAGGAAGAAAGGAGGCCTTAAGTAGGCGAACACTGGGCCATGTTTTCCATCGTAGCTCGTAGCTTTAGCTCAAACTGCACCAAATCGTAGGGGTCAAAGGTCACAGCTCTCCATATCTGTTCTCTCTATGGACTTGAAATAGAAGAAGAAGAAGAGGTCGAACAACAGGGAGGACCCCTTATGTTTAGACTGTATTTTAGGCTGGTCCCGATCCGATATTTGGATCGTATCGGCCAAAAATGCAGATCCAGACTCCAGACCCATTTTTTAAAAAGTTTGATCCCACACTAGCATTAGCATTAGCATTAGCATCTGTAACCACAGGTCTGTGTCCTAACCATTAAGTTATCTTAGCATTAGCATTAGCATCTGTAACCCACAGGTCTGTGTCCTAACCATTAAGTTGTTATCAGAGCATTAGCATTAGCATTAGCATCTG